TGGACAAAAAAACTGTATTGGTAGAAAATCTATTTACGTAAATATATTTTGAAACATATTTTATAATTTTTTTGAAATATATTGAATAATATATTTGAATTTTTATTTTATTTATTTATTTATTTTTCTGTATCTTTCTCTGTTATTGGGAATTTCTTAGCCAAGGAAGACGCATCAATTTATTCAAATCTATTAGCATTTTTACACTGTGTTTCAGTGCTTCAACTCTATGGTGAGCAATTTATTACATTTTTTAAAATAAAGGTTCCAAAAGAGCGCTTTCGCAGCGATGCCATAGAACCTTTTTTGCTCCCCCAAAGAACCTTATATTGCTAGCATATTGACTGTTTATTTGTATTTAAAAAGCACATATTAATGCCTTGTTCTGCATGACATCCCTTAATCCTACCCCATAACTAAAACTACCTTACTAACGATTGATAAACAGTAAATTAGGAGTTTATTGAAGCAAAAGTCATAGTTAATAGCGAGAATTGGACCCCAATTATATTTATAATTCTGTGTATTTATTCTATACAATACATTCAGTTTGAGACAGCCTGTCATGCTTCTAAACTGCTCTGGGTTAAAGCAGGGTCACTGTTTATTTGTGTGTAGGTGCTGATGTGGGAACAGTGATGCAGGTTGTGGTACATGTACTCTGTGTGTAACTGGGTGCCAGTAGAGAGAGTAGAGCAGCAGAGAGGGTGAGAGAAGTGTGCTCATGTGGTGTGAGGACTGTGTTATCCACACACCGCCCCAGATGAGAGCAGAGGTGTGATGCTTGTGTAGACGTGAGAATGACTGGGTCACTGGAATGAACAGCGCTGGACACATGACCCTGAGCAGAGGTCAGCCTTATGATGGAAAATCATAAACATTTCTTTTTTCAATGGCTACCTGTCACGGTAATACTGTGATTGACCTTTGTCAGGGTCGCACCATGAATGAAACTGAGGCTGTGAGAGATATAAGTACAGTGTATTCAAGGGATTTGTACTATAGTTTATCAACATGCCAATTGTTCAGCTGAGAAAACATCTTTCCAAAGAAACTTTCAGCTTTCGACGTTCCATTTTCAAAAAACTCGTGAAACAGTTTTGAAAGTTGAGTTTTGAAAACGATGTGATCTGCCTTTATATGTGCTATTGTTGTTTTCATCCACATAAAGCTCAATATGGCATCTGCCCTGAGGTCTATGATCATTTAATAATGTCATCCAGATTCTGAATCAAATATGCAATTTCTCTTGAGTTGTTTAATTTAGAATAACTGTTTTTTATATTTTCTCATCACTGCTTGCATGTAAAGGAAGAAATGACTCAATCATGAACATTCATTCATCATTCACCATCATGACATCCCCAACCCGTATCTCCTTCTTTCTTCTTTCTGTGGAACACAAAAGTAAATGGTCTGAAGAGTGTTCTTGCTGCTCTTTCTCATACAATGAACACATATTGTAATCTTTCCAAAAAGAATGAAAAAGTATCATAAAACTACCATAAAAGTAATCCATATAACAGTAAGAAATGGTTATGAAAAACTGAAACAGAAGTGAAACAAGTAGTAGGAAAGAGGAGACATAAAAAGCGATACTTATCCTTTGCCGGTGTCCCTGCCCGGAGTGTGTGATATAACTTGTGTGATATAGTTCAAAATCAATAAGGTTTTTGTGAGGAACAGACAGAATTTCAGTTGTTCTTTGTGAGAGAATTACGGCTAACTGGAAAATGTGTATCACGAGTAGACACGCCCCTTATTGCTGATTGGCTACAAGTTTGTTTTGCGATTCGGCCCGAATCAGTTTTCTAAAGTGTTTTTGAAAAATCACATACCCTGCCTTTAACTTGAATTCACCTACTTAAAAACTTCCCCTTTATTGTGGCTTTAAAGTTGAAAGTTTTGTTTCCACATCTGTTTTGGCACACATAAGACTAGTGATCTTTGATGTCATGTATGAATAGTCACCAGATTTTCGAGTGAACAGTCCCTTACCAAAAAGTAGTATACTTCAGGTTTATTTTAAGTATACTTAAGTAAAGTTCAAGTATATTTTTAAGTATACTTTATGTAGTAATTATACAAATATCCTTGTACTAGTAGTATACTTGTAAGTGTACTATTTCAATACTCCTTGGGACTAAATTGGCCCACTTTCTAGTATATAAAAGTATACTTTTAAGTATACTTTAAGTATAACAGTAGTAAACTTTGAGTACACAACTAGTTTACATCTATGTTTTTAGTTTGTAAAAAAATAAAGAAATAAACAAGATTTTGAACAAAAAGCTGAAAAAAGACTATTAATTGGATTTAGAATGATAATCAAAACGTAGATGGAGTCGATCAACACCCCAAAGCTTGACAGTCATTATTACCTCTTCATTGGTCGACATTTTATTCCATAACGTTACACAGTTTTGATGCTGTTTTATGTCTGATGATCGTGTTAGAATACATGTGGAAGCATCTGTTGTTTCGGTTTTTTCTTCACTTGTGTTTTTTTGGAAATTCTGTAGAGAAGATGTGTACGAGCGCCCCCTACAGTATAACAATAAAAAACATTCTCGGAGCACAAGTATAGCTCAAATATATTTAGACTTTTTCTAAGTATAAAGTCAAGTATACTTAAATGTCATTTTAAGTATATTTCTGAGAAGTACATACAAATTTGACTGAAAGTATACTTTCCTATTTTTAGTTTAAAAGACGTATACTAATAGCACACTTGAATAAACGTATTTTTCGTAAGGGGTTCCTTTTTGAGCCTAACATAAAATATAAAGAAATATAAAATATTCTTTACAAACATTATCTGACAAAAAAAAAACTACATTCAAATAAAACAAATAAAATAAAATATTAGGTTGAATTATAGTGTTTATATGGTTCAAAGGGATCCTAAAAACAAAGGATTTCACCAGACTTAGTTCATCTTTTTGAGCAGAAGGACTGCCCCCTATTGGAGGTTTTTCTAATTACATTAACTTCATTCTATTCTTTCATTCAGCTTCAGGGCTCTGTCATTCTGTTAAATGAATGATGAATGTGCATCAGTGAGGTTCAGATTTGAGAAGTGAGAAGGTTGGTGCTGATGTGGGAACACTGATGCTGGTCCTGGAACATAGAGAGGGTCAGAGAAGTGTGCTCATGTGGTGTGAGGACTGGTGTCTGGCAGGGGGTTTCCAAGACTCTGAGATCAGCAAATGTTAAAACAGACTGGGACTAGACAGACCCCATAAGCCAGAACACTCCCAAATGAACAGAATAAACAACATACCTCTTATTGCCACCCTCACTGTCTGCTGCTTTTCTTCAGTTTCGGATCTATCTATCTATCTATCTATGCTTTGATCCTTTAAATTACTTTAATTGCTGTAATCTGTGACCTATAGATTATTCTCAGTCATTTTACATATCCATTTTTTATCATCATGACTTTGAGGAAATTAACTTTTTACCACCTATTTGCAATATGCCGTCACATCTTTTACTAATTAGATTAGTAAAGTGAACGAAAACACAACCGTTAATTGATTCATTGCATTAGCTGTTATCTCATGGATTTGAGACTTTAGTCTTTGCAACTTTACAGATCTTCTTTATGCACCAAGAGCTTGTAACACTCTAAAGAGAAAGGAAAAAATGAAATCGCATCATATGACCCCTTTAAGCAATTGCTCGCCGCTATCTTACGTTGTCCATTTGTGCCTTTTGCCTGACGCGGGTCAGTTTGCTGGCCCTATAGGAGGTCGGAGTGACGCAGTCTCGCAAATTTGCTCCTCCAAACGGAGCGACGAAGTCCATCAAGTCCCCATTAGGACCTCATTAAACTCGCTTAGTGAGATATTTTGCACCCTTCTTAACGGGCTGAAGTGTGAACGCGTGCGTTTAGACAAACAGCGCGAGACGCGCTCGAACTGACCGCTGATCGACTTTAGTTGTTAAGCTTTTGGTGACGTTAAGAGCTGTTTGAGCTGTTTTCAGATCAGTTTCTGAGGGCAATAATTAAAGGAGCCATAGACAGCAGAGACGGGACTTTAGAAAATCAAAATAAGAGGTAGGCACGTCATTTAAAGAAAATTCTATAAAAAAAGGTTATTTTAAGATAAAGATTTTAAACACGGAATTAGGCAAATAATGACTTTAAATTTTAACAATCTGTTTTATGCAATCTCAAGCTAAATTAAAAATAATAGGTAGGCTATAGGGCTGTTGAGTTATGCCAGAGTTTATCTATAAACCCATGCCAATACATGGTGTTTATTGTAATAAAAGAGAGAGAATTTCTACAAACGTTTTGTTTTTGCACAGTCGGTTGCTGTACAAAATCAAAGTGGTAACGGGTAATAGCCTAAATAAGCGGCTAAAACAGCCTAGTGTTTTTATTGATTCGTTTTATTTACATAATTGTATCATTTTAAGGGGGACAGAACTTAAAAATCTAAAAAAACAAAACAAAGAAAAAAAAACTCTAATATAGCCTATACAGCGAATTAATAAGAAACGTTGTATTTCCCTATAAATACATACGGATATGCAAGGATAGGGCACACTTTTTTGGTTTTATGTAGGCCTATATGGTTTGATCACGACTGCGCACGTAGTCCTAATTAATGTAGCCTCGAAACCTTAACTAACTAGCCTATAGCCTATTATATATGACCCCACTCCTGTGTCGCCCCCCGTCGTCTTTCTCGCAGATGGCGTGCAAGTTTGCTCCTCCGTGCTGTTGCAATAACCTCACGGTACCAGATTTCTCACCCTCACGCTGGGGCGCACTGTTTATACAACTGGAGCAGTCTTTACACCAAAATGTCCATAGCAGTCTCTATCCCCATCATTTGGCAAACAGCACCAAACCCCCTCTTAAAACAACCTCAGATCATTTGGCATCGGCACCATCGTCCAGCCCCGCCCCTGCAGCTCCAGCTCCAGCTCCATATAAACCTCGAGAGCGACTCCCCTTCATTCATCCACTTCCCTCCGGCGGATAACGGCTCATCCAAGGCGTCCACCGCGCGGAGATCTTCCAAAAAAGTACTATTTGGGACTAACGCCCTGCAAAAAAGAGAAATGAATTCTGTGTGCGTTACCGCTCCTCTTTCCAATACAATGAACACTGACATCCAGCAGTCCAGCAGGTGAGCATTATTTGCTTTATTCTATTCTATTCTATTTTATTCTATTCTTTATATAGAGGATGCCTGTTAGATTTTACATCTAAAATATTACTGTCATTCTATCCACAGCCCAGCTTCCCTGTGGAGACCGTGGCTCGTGACCAGAAAGGATGCACAAATTGAATGCAGGAGAACCAAGCTGGCTTGTGTAAGTTTTTCCATCACTGCAATCTTAATATTTCAAAAGAATTCCCATCTCTATAGGAATGTTACTAAGTTCAGAAAACACATGGTACTGTAATGAACTCCTGTAGCTACCTCTATCAGCGCCGGAAATTTCAGTTTGGTGTGTGGAGGCTCATATGTTAGATGCACATCTAAAATATTACTCTCATTCGATCCACAGCCCAGCTTGCCTGTGGAGACCGTGGCTCATGACAAGAAAGGATGCACAAACTGAATGCCGGAGAACCAAGTTGGCTTGTGTAAGTTTTTTTTCCACCACTGCAATTCTAATATTTCAATAGAATGTCCATCTGTAGGCTATAGGAATGTTATTAAGCTCAGAAAACACATGGTACCGTTATGAACTCCTATAGTGCTATTTATTAGGCTGCGGGTTAATTCAACTTTACAGCACGGAAGATTTCAATTGTTTGTATGGCATACAGTTTTTTTAGAGCAGCAGGTAGCTTTTAGGTGACAGACAGGCATGTGGTGAGCATTAGGCAGCAGATTGTGTGACTGTGGAGGTGTTTCATTGACACCAAGCCCATTCAGTGACGCAAAGGCAAACTGAGAGCAGCTCTAGCGCTGAGACACTTAGCCATATGGCACCACTGTCTAAATGTGTGAACACTGAGTCTGTGCCCAGAGACGAGGTGTAGGAGAAAACAGCTCCCAGAGAACAAGCGATCGCTTGCCAAGATTTAGGCAGACACCTCTAGGTTTGGGAAAGGGAGTTGGAGCCAGTTTCCCACAAACACTTTAGCCTGACACCCTCCATGTCACAGCTTTTGCATCCTGCCCAGGGTGTTATACACCCACAAAGCTGGCAGTGATATCACCTCATAAACACTGGACAGGAAGCATTGTTTGAGTTGTGTTTGGTGCATGTGGTCTTACACGTCTTTTCTCCCTCTTTCCAGCCTTACTCCAGGCCAGAAGTGCCCAGTAACACTACAACAGATGGCAAAATGCAGTCTTTCCAGCACCCTGTCAGGTCAGTGAGCATTTAATTTAGCTTGAGCAATGGTTTTGTTTTGTAACATGCTTTTATTTTGGCCCTAAAACCCTAATCCGTTCCAAATAAGGCTTATTTTACCATGCTAAAAAATGCGTCTCCGTGCTCTGTTTGCGTAGTTTGTATTTAACATTTTATTTCTTCATACTTTAGGCTGTATTGGCCCAGATCGAAGTCATACGACTACCTCTTCAGTGATGGCGAGGCCCTGCTCAGAAATTTCCCAGTTCAGGCCACCATAAACTTCTACGATGAGTCAGACAGCGAGGAAGAGGAGGACAGCTGTGACGAAGACGATGACAGCGATGCTGAGGAGTGTCTTAAACTTAACAGACTTAACTTCACCAGTTACAACTGAATGTTCAACCTCATCCGTCTCCACAGCTGTGACTTTGATAAATTTCATACATTTAACACCAACACTGGATAATGCCCCATTGTGCTCTATTAGAGAAGTCGTGCCATCAGTAATTCAGTGCATGGACATGGTGTTTCTTATGAGCGTCTAGAGCACAACCAGAGTGATTTTACTGATTGTTTTATGCAGGAAACATCAATTACATGAATGCAGATTCAGATATGTCTTGCATAAAAGTAATTCCTGTTAAAAACAGTGAAAATGCAGTCCCACATTGGGAAATGTTGTTTCAGAGCGATCTCAGGGTTCTTACCTTAAAAATTCTATTTGTATTCTATTACCCATCCCTAACTTATGATTTATGTGCATTTTATGTATATATATGTATTTATGGCATATTTTTATACTTTTGTACTTTTGATTTAAAGTAAAATCTATATTTAAATGAGTGTAAACCTTGTCTGTTTGGGATCTGTGCTTCTGATAAGTCTCTTTTTTGAACTCACTTGAGTCCTTTGATGTTTTCTAACCCTATCTGTTGACTAGAAGGGGCTCTGCTGTTTGTCCAGGTTTCAAACAAAAGAGGTTTGATAAAGGACACTGTCTACTATTACAATGTTCCCCTAAGAATGTAAGATTTTCCAGGTTGGACTCTTCTGTTGAAGTCACAGGTCAGCAGAGACCTGACTTGATGGCTTTGCTACTTCAATGAATAGAAACAGGAGAAAAAGCAATTTCTTAAAGGGGGACATACATACCAATGAGCCAGGAAAAATTTCTTTAGGGCATGCAGCCCAAGTCAGAATATTTTGGCAATGGAAAGCCGTTGATTGCTGATAACCCTCTAAAATATGTTTGTTCACTTTATAAGTTATACATCCATTTCCCTTTGAAGGAAATTCTGTCAAATCATTGGCAAAACCTACTAAAAGGTGCCTCTAAAATAATAATAATAAAAAAATCCATAAAAGAGTTAGTGTAAAAAGATACTGTAAAGATATGAAAATCCTTGAGAAAAAGAATTACATTTTAGCTATAACATACTTCAAAAATGAGTACTTATTACAGAATTAATATACTTTAAATGAATATATTTAGTGTGAACTGAATGTAATGTTTTCGGACATTTGATTGCATTACAATTAAATTAAATTGCTTTATAGTTTAAATGCATTTGCTTTTTTGAAATACCTAGTAGGACTTAAGTACATCTTTATATGTCATTTCATAATTACTTCTATTGTCATTGAAATATGGTTAAAGTGTATGTACTGACAAGCATACTTATGTTATTTTTAATTGAAATGTGTATATCATGTATTTAAAAGTATTTGTAATTACACATTTAACGAAGTTGCAATTTAGTACATTTAAAATATATTCACTTTAAATGTAATATCAAATAACACACTACAGTACAAAGTACTTTATATGTGCTTTAGCATTTTAGTTAACATAAAAATAAGTGTACTTCTTTAAAGCATGATCAAAGATTAATAAAACATAAATAGTAATTAAGTGATTTTGTAATTAAAATGTAATTTAAAGTAAAACTTTTAATTTGACATTACTGCAAAGTGCACTTTCTAAAACTGTGTTATTAAGAAATATAGTCATGAAAGTGTCTCTTTAGATTCGCTTAAGTGGCCTTTTATTTCATACATTTTTTATTTTTTATTATTATTTTTTTTAATATACTTTTACAATTTTATGTACACAAGTGGACATTCAATACAATTATGTGTACTAATTTTTCACACAGGGAAGCGCATTATCCATTACAGTCTCACAGCATAACTGTAGTTAGATCATGGGTTTTCAACAGGGGGTCTGTGACCCCTAGGGGGCCTATGGCGGTACTGCAGGGTGTCTATGGGTTATTGTTTGACCTCAAACTAATTTAGTGAAAAAACGAAAATAAGCCTATATTATAATAAATCAAATATTAAATTCACTTTCAACTTTCACTTTCAAAGTTCAGCTAAATGTAATGTACAAGTATATGACTCATCAGTTATTATTTTAATGGCTTGTCAGCATCATAAAGCATGTATGATAGGCTACTGCAATACTATATGTTAGTAGGCCATGGATACAATGCAATGCTTAATTTCTATAATATGCAGCAAGGAACCCTGCTTCATATCTCTGTTCTCCATGGTCCCTGGACTGAAAACCTACCTGTGAGCCTACTCCTCCATTACAGTAGTGCATTAATAATAATAATAATAATAATAATAATAATAATAAAAACATGCCAGAGACATTTCAGTTTGCTATGTCTAATATATCTAACATATCTTATTTAGGCCTACTGAAAATTCCAAACTGTTGTTGTAGACCAATGTTAAGACATTTAGGATGGTACAGCAATTTGGTTGTTACATTTAAATATGAGTTTAAAGGTCGTTTTGCAGCCATGTGGCTTACTGATATTACAAAAATCACAAAGCTCCATCACAAGCGGCAAGACAGAGTTAGACAAGAGCGGTTCAGCATTGTGGGTAATGCTGTCTTTTACCTCAAGGCGTGGCATCGAGAGAGACCCCTGACTCTATGCTGACTCTATCATCCTCTTTTTCTAATTAAAATGTCACTTGGTGGCACTCCGCATTTATAACGATAGGAATACAACATTAATGTCTGGGCATAAACATCCAAAGGTTTCTTGAAACTGTTTCGGAGAAGCGTATACGTGTGCAGAGACAGACTACATTACCCAGTTTATTTTTCCCCATTCCCCAAGAAGTATGACTTTGCGTTTACGAAATCAACAGTATAATTTCATTGGACAAACAGGGGAAATCCGTGACTCCTATTGGTCCATCCGCATGTCAATCAAACGGCATCCGTGACTCATGTGCGTGCTCCCTAGCTGGGAACAGGGATGGAATGGACTAGCAATTGCAACAGCCTGGAAGGTAGGCTTTATTATTATTTAGCCATCTCTGAGTTACATATATACACGCTATTTTGTTTTGTTCCATGGCAACTAAAAAAATCGCTGCGTTTATAAATATACATCTATCATAAATATACATTAATCGCACTGAGAGCCCCTCTAAGGAGTACTGTCAGCTGCTATAGTCAAACAGAATATGTGTCTCTTATTAATATTTTATTCGCTTTTAAGAAAGCTAGTTGCTTTTAGGAATGGCCTTAGGAAATGTAATTAGCCTACATTGAATTGTTTTGTCAACATTTTCTAAAAACACTTGCACTTAGAGAAAATCTAGCATTTCAAGTATGCTTTGTATGTCTTATTTTTTGTCGTTTTTTTTTTTTTATTCTATGCTGTTTCAAGACGTTATTAAACGTTAAATTGCGTTGGGCGGATATTTTTCATGTGCGATAAAGCGATAGTAACTCGCGAATCAAATTAATTCGTTAAGGAGTGAGCTCGAGTGATAGATTTAGCTCGCGCATCTCTCTATCTACCCGCTCCGTTACTATGGGAACCTCCTCCCCCGCCCTCCCCCATAAGCGTATTTTAGACGGGCAAGAGATTATATAGATTTATATAGTAAAGATATCAGTTTCCAGATAGCAGTCCTCTTTTTATGTCATAATTTAGAATATTGCAAGGAAAGCCAATGGCCTGGAGTTCATATTTGATTCTCAGTTCATTTGTTGTTTTGTCTGTCATTTGATAAAAACAAATGGCCACAATTACGATAACAACAAGTGTGCAACATAAGAAAACATTTTCCAATCCTTTAAACACATATTTTCTTCTCCCCAGGTCAAAATACTTCAGATTGAGTTCTCTTGTGGTAGCATGGCAGCAGGTAAGCACCAGATTTCATCAACTTCATCTTAAAACGCTGAAGTTAGCATAGGGTCCATTCATATTTCTGTCTGATCTAAAAAATAGTGCAGCAGTTCTTGACACACCTTGTTAAATGACATAAAACCTTTATGTAATAGATGATGTGTCAAAGCTCTTTGGGTTCCTCGAGCCCTTCTTGAGCTGTGACTCATTTCAGCATTGAAAAAGCCCATACTGATATTGAAGCATATTAAGGAAATAGATTTTTTTTAAAGTCTACATGAAGTTAAAATGTACCTTTATTTATCTATTTTCTAATTGCAAGTTATAGGTCATATTGATTTTTTTTTTCTGTGAATATGCTTCATTTTTTTAAACTGTTTTGACTTTAATGAGATTCAGAATGATAAATGGATGGAAAATGGTAGTCAGAATAATGATAAAAAAGATTTTCCTATCAGTAATTGCAAATTTTATGGGAATGGCATAAAACCATTTTGAGTATTTGTCAGGCCTGATCCACCGGCAAAGGCATGAACTGGCAAAAATACATATATGTATACTCATACACACACAGGAACAAACAGAGAAACACCTTTACCCCCATTAAAACATACAGATGTCTTACGATCTCTCAGCGTTCCTAAATGGCAAGGATGCAAACTCTCTCCTCAAACGTTTTCCACGGGCTAATGGCTTCCTGGAGGAGTTCCGGCCGGGCAACATTGAGAGGGAGTGTGCTGAGGAGAGCTGCAGCTTTGAGGAGGCCAATGAAGTGTTTGAAAATAAAGAGCGAACGGTAAATCCTGTCTTCATCAGCAAAAGATGTAAACAAATTCTATTTCCTGTGTTTTTTGTTTGTGGATGCAATTTAACAATAATGCAAGTCTATTGTACCATTTTGATTTTATGTGCTTTTATGCATACAGATTGTTTCTTGAAATACCAGCAAATCAGTTTCAACAATTTGCTGGCTCGTACAGTGCAGTACTAGGGTGAACAATATGTGTGAACAAGCACTTGCCAGGTTTGGATGCTTTTATGTAAGAAATCTGCTGTCATAGAATTTGAGCCAGTCACAAAGTTCTTAGGAACCGAAGCAATTACTCCACACGCTTTACCTACAGGCAAACATAACATACAGATCTATAACCCATAAGTGGGTGTTTCTATTAGGTGTTACTTTTGGCCCTGTGGACTTTTAGAAAATAACCTCTCTTAAAACTCACTTTTGCCATTTTTTTTTTTAAAAGTCATGAACATTTAAAAAAAAAATCTCAGTTCCATTTCCATCACATCGTAATTTACATATTGTGTTTAATAGCATTCTGTGATGGAAATAAAAAAGGAATGTATATGATATTTTACACATTTTTGGAATAAAATGGCCTAATGACTAATTTAGCTGGCCGTTTATGTATCCCAAATATACACATTTTAATAATATTTTAACTGTTTTAACTTTAAAGAGAGGCCTGTTGTGATTTTTCAAGGTTGTTAATTGATGGTGCTGTATATGCTTTTGTTAAAGCCATCAGCCAGCACTATTTTAACTTATTTACTAAATAA